ACCTGGTTGCTCATCAAAAGATTCTCGGTGAATACGCATTTTTTCGTTGATGTTGAAAGTCAACTTTTTGCGCCATTTATTTCGCTTGCGATAGCCGATCATGTGATTATATTGACCCGATGTCAATCGAACGAGTTTTTCGTGGCGATTTTCCTTGTTCGGATCATTGTAATTGGTCACACAAACACCGCCAATCACCAGCCGAAGACCTGGATCGAGACCATACACTTGTTGCGCTTTCAATAACTTTTCTTGAGTCTCCCGCATGATTTCATTTTCATCTTTGACAACGACGAATTTTGTGCGTTCCATCCAGAATGACATTGCCACTCCATCCGTTTGAATCGAATTTCGGAATTTTATAGTGGCACGAGTGTCATTTTGCGGTGTTCTTTCAATGGCATCAATGTCAAAATACGTTCGCCAAAGCATGACCCAATCAGCGGCTTTTAATTCCTCACGTTGCTTTGGTGTTCCATCACGTCTAATGAGCCGTGGGTGTGGGCATCCGATATCTCTCAGCATGCAATAAAGAGCTGTGTTATCGATGCGAATGTGATGTCTTTTAAACGTTGAAACTGGAAAAACGGTGAAATTTCTGTAATCACGGAGCTCTGTTCTTTCACCTCGTCGCAATGCCGCCTCTCTATTTCGTTGGTGATCACGAATGTACCTATTGTATGATTGACGAGGAAATCAATAGAAATTGCATTGTTTAACGAATGAAACAAAAATGATTGTGTGCAACCGATTGATTTGAAATAATGTAAAAATATTAACGGCTTACCGTTGTAAATGTAGAAATATTGGTACGTATTTGAACCAATTGCCTGCCGTCGTCATCGTACAAAAATATGCTCGACCATCTCCGAAACGAATTGGATGCAATTCATTTTTTAGTATTTCAATTAGATACGGATCTGGTACGCGCTCTGATTTCTTTTTGAATAGATATTGCATGGTATTGTAGATCTGTTGCTTGGTTGCATTTTGGTGCTCAAAAAACTTCCAAAGACGAGAATATGCGTGATAGCAAACGTTATTCTTGAAATTTGTGTAGTACATTTGTGATGCGTAGTCGAAATATTTACGACACAAACGATAAATCATTCTGGACACCTTGTATCCACAGTTCATTACGGCATCTTCATCGTCGCTATCAAAATTTTGCGTCCCTCGGAAAAAATCATCGAAGAAGTTCTTATCCACAAATTTACTGAAGTAATCTTCGATTTCACCGTATCGATTGCCATCACAACGCACTTGAAAAAATTAGAAAATCAAGTAATGAACACTGAGTGCACCCAAAATGAAACATCGCATCATTTCAAGCACATAATCGCTGATCAAATCACGAAATTCATCTGTTTTCATTGGTCGATTGTGTTTCAAGCCTTTTTTTGCACTTTTCTTTATCGTTTGATTTTCACAATTTTTTTTTCCTCTTTACTGGCTTTGGCTTAGAAGCCGATGCTGCAGGCTTCCGTTTCTTTCCAGCCATCGTGATCGAGTGATAGTATACCGAAGAGCTCTCTTATATGTATAGTCTAAAATGTGTTGATTCAGCAATATATTATTTTTGATGAATTTATAGGTTCCCAGTATTTTAAAAACGGGCCTCTAAAAATTCATCAAAATATACAATCACCGATTCATGTGATCGAACGGGTTCACAATAAACAAACTAACAATGCGTTCATTTCACTCTTGCATAAATATAATTTCAAAATTCTTCGAGGCAAACGAATCAAAAACTTTATTGAAAATCATTCATCAACAAAGCAAGAATATTCTCACATGTGTTCTCAATGTGTGTTTCGGTTGTTCACGATTCTGATGGATTTCGAAAACTCAACAACATATTTGCCATATTACCCTTTTCAAAAAAAAAAAAAAAAATCACTGAGCACAGAAGCGGTTATCTCAAGGAATATGTGCTGATATGGATGCAAACCGATCTCAACTTTTTCTTGAAAACCATCCGCTAATCAATTATTTACTTTGTTTTAATGAAATCATCTTTTAATAAACAAACTAACAATGCGTTCATTTCACTCTTGTATAAATATAATTTCACAAGTCTTCGATGCAAGTTAACCAAAAACTTTATTGAAAATAATTCGTCACCAAAGCAAGAATATTCTCAAGCATTTTACAATGTGTGTTTCGGTTGTTCACGATTCTGATGGATTTTGAAAACTCAGCAAAATGTTCGCAAATTCTTCACTTTGTTTCCACTAGCTATGAAACATTCGAGGGGCTTATGACTGACTCGAACCAGCGTTGACTCGTGAAAGTCTCATACAAACTGCTCACGAGTCACATCATACATAACATACACAAAATGTATGGCTGTAGCACGAGTCACGAGTCAATCGTTAATGTCAATTTCAAATAACATCAACATTTAATTGAAAACATATAATTTTTCTAGCATCAAAAGGAATCATATTAATTCTCTTAAAAATTTCCACTGTGTCAAAGCAATTATTGTTCAAATTTCTTTCTGTTTGATAATTAAAAAAACACAATAAGATAAAAACACTTCTATCACAAATCAAATGAAACAGTAATGAGGAACGCATTATAAGTATCACGTCTTACCTCAACAAAGGACTCTGTATTCTAAATCGAATGATGAAATTTATTTCCAATGTGACATCAAATATTTTTCTGTTCGAAATGTTGTTGGAATATCCACAGTAAATTTTATCAACACTCTGTTATTTCGAAATTAAAACAAAAATGAACACAAAACCAACTGTGAATATATCCATTCCACAGCAAACAGCGAACACACAAAATTGTTGAAATTTAAATGACAATAAAACCAATTGATCGCCCAAACCACGCTTCAAACACTCTCATATAATTCTCAAGAAATCCTATTGAAAACAAAACAAAGTTTTATTGTAAACAAAATCGGTTGGTGCGATTGTAGTTTCAAAGTGATGGAAGTTGTTTATACTAACAATACTGTCACACGATGCGAGCACATTTTCAATACATATAAATGAATATCTTTGGATTTGGTTGACACATATACACCGCGCCAAACGAAAAATGTCAGTTGCATTTCGAAAATTCAAAATAATAATTCCACAAATAAAGAAAATTAAATGCAATAAATGACGTGTAAAAGAGTTCTTCTGCAGAATTTTAAATTAAATTATGCAAATCTCTTTCCGAATAAATTGTTTATTTTTTTATTTGAGCGTAAGATTTGAATTTTCAATTTAAAACTTAATGTTTTGGGTTGTGTTCACATTCTGGTGGTCATTTTCGTGTCAAATGGAACGGAGATTATGTGCATAGTTTCCACGAATTCCAATGCAATGGATCCACTTGTTTCTTTTACTTCCAATAATATTTCATTTGACAACATAATGTGAACACAACCCAATACATTAAGTTTTAAATTGAAAATCCAAATATTACGCTCAAATAAAAAAATAAACAATTTGTTAGGAAAGAGATTTGCATAATTTAATTTAAAACTCAGCAGAAGAACTATTTTTTTATACGTCATTTATTGAATTTAATTTTCTTTATTTGTGGAATTAGTATTTTCAGTGTTCGAGATGTAACTAACATCTTTCTGACATTTTTCGATTGGCGCGGTGTATATGTGTCAAACCAAATCCAAAGATATTCATTTATATGTAATAAAAATGTGCTCGCATCGTGTGACAGTATTGTTAGTATAAACAACTTCCATCACTTTGAAACTACAATCGCACCAACCGATTTTGTTTACAATAAAACTTTGTTTTGTTTTTAAGAGGATTTCTTGAGAATTAGATGTGAGTGTCTGTAGCGTGGTTTGGGCGATCAATTGATTTTATTGTCATTTCAATTTCAACGATTTTGTGTGTTCGGAAAGCTGTTCGCTGAGGAATGGATATATTTACAGTTGGTTTTGTCTTCATTTTTGTTTTAATTTCGAAATAACAGAGTGTTGTTAAAATTTACTGTGAATATTCCAACAACATTTCGATCGGGAAAATATTTGATGTCACATTGGAAATAAATTTAGAATACAGAGTTAGAATACAGAGTTCTTTGTTGAGGAAAGACGTGATATTTATAATGCGTTCTTCATTACTGTTTCATTTGATTTGTGATAGAAGTGTTTTTTATCTTATTGTGTTTGTGATCTATGCTATATTTGGTGCATTTTTTTCTAAATTTGTGTCTATTTTTTATTTTCGTTTATTTGTATCAGTTCTTCAATTTGTATCAGTGTACATGTTTGTTGTTATTGGTGGTCAACAAATTGTTATGATTTAACATTCGCTTAAAACCTGTCATTGAGACTTTTTACTGACTCGAAAATCATAAGGGGACTCGCAAATCACATACAGACTCTTATTGATTAGTATAATTTACATGAGACTCTTGCGATTCACATATGTCATAAGCCCCTTGGAAACATTTTATCAGAAATCTTATAAAAAGCACAGAAGCGATGGAAAAAAGGATTTTATTGAAAATCATCTTTTAATAAACAAACCAATCGAAATTCCAACAGAAACAAAAATAGTTTTTTCGACAATGGAGCACGCGTTTTACACAACATAAAACCGTGAAAGGTTATGTTTGTCATCGAAAGACAATGACAGGCGTTTGAAGTTTCATGTAAATGTCAATACAATATGAAACAGTGTTCCACCAGAATGATTATTATTCATTTAATATTCAAACAATTAATACAATTTAACTGTTTTACAAAACTATTGTATTTTGAATTTAAAATGAATGCAAAAAATCTTTCTAGCACCTTCTTATTTCATTTTAATCCATTTGGAATTTTTATCAAATAAATCCGAAAGGATTATATTTTAATCCCATCAAAATTACAGTGTAGCAATATAATATACGTGCATTAAACAGATAAATGTGAAAATGTCACTAAAGTTTTTAGAAAAATATTAGAAGTAAAAGAATTTACTCAGCCAAACTAATTATTCAAGCCAATGTCCTTTGGACTTGATGAATCCGCCTCTCAATAAAATATACGAAAGATGGACTCAAATTTTGTACATAGATATTTTGTAACTTTGTTTGTACTAATTAGATATTTAAAAAGAAAAGAATTAGATTTAAAAAGAAAATCACATCATCTAGATTAAATAACTTTCATTTTTCTACTATTACGCGGTCTCTCGGGGCTCATGCAAGTTAGGTAAACAAAAAAACAGTAAAAAAACAGGTTTATTTGTTATTGTTTACAATTGGCTTTGGTTCGTCTTCTTATCATATCGCGGCGAACGGAGCGAAATCAAATAGTGTGACAACTCTGTCTAGTGTTTACATTGTGAACGCGCCCACATGTGAAGTTGTATTCAGCACAAATATCAATGTCATAGTGACGGCTTCGAAGAAAACTTTTTTTTACGTTTTTCATATTTTGCATTCATTACATTCAGGGTATATCTTGTTGTGGTTTCGCTTCAACTAATCAAAGTGTAACATATGAATAAATGATTAGTCATAAACATAAACTGAGCATAGAGATGTGACAAAGGCTGTGTGGTTCCATAAATTGTGTATGTGTTGACCAAGTTGTGATTTGTTGTTTTTTTCCTCTACTGACGCAAACAAAAATCGCGAAAAAAATGGCAAATGAAACGCCCGTTTTACATTTGGTTGTGATTGGTTTTCATCATAAAAAAGGCTATCAAGTGAGTGTTTAACGCGGTCAAATGTTGATTTGAAATGGAATTTTCCAAGAAAAAAACGAAATATTTATCGATTTATCTGCAGGTTGATTATTCATATCCGCCTCTGTTTGCTGACAAACCGAGCGATTCAGTTGAGTGTCCAGATGGATGGAAATATTTACCAACCTTGGCTTTACCAGATGGTTCGCACAATTTTGCCGAAGACACGGTTTTCTTTAACTTGCCCAGCTTAAAAGATTTACGAAAAACTGTCTATGGCATTTCATGCTATGTAAGATTCATACAATACATATTTACATATATTTCATATAAAAATTATTTATTCTATTCTCTGTTTATTTACAGCGTCAAATACCTGTTGAGGTTAGTACTTTTTACTTCATTCTGAAAAACTGGTTTTCAATATAAAAAAATTATATCATTACAGAAATTAAAGATTAAAGCAGTGGAATATACACGGAGTACTGTTCAAAAGGCGGTGTGTGCACTTGTATCACGACCATTATATGGTTATATCGAAGTGAAGCTATCATTGATTGCACAATCGTTTTTCGACCAAGGAGATTTTTCAAACACAGACATCATCCGAACAGCATACGATCATTTAAATGTTTGTTTAATTGAGAATAACACTTCGTTGACATCACAAATCCACGTTGGATTGTCGATCAGAGATATAGTATTAAGGTAAGTGGTTTACAGCTGTAAAAGAATGTGAAATTGATTCTATTGTGAGTGGGTTTTTTTATTTGTTCAGATGGAGACATAAAACGCTTATTTTATTCAAATTGATGTTACTTCAAAAGAGAGTTGTGTGTTTTGGTTCTCCCGTTCGTCCAATATGCACATTAATTTTAGGCATTTTATCATTACATCCAAATTTGTTGGAATCAGGGTTCGATGAAGCAGCATGTGTGAGGTGAGTTTCTATGTCATTTCCATTATTCTCACTTTAAATATAAATATATTTAAATACAAATAATACAATAATACTTAATAATAATAATAATACAATAATAATTTTAATGAATTTTATGATTTAATTTAAATTTATTTAATTATAAATATATTTGATTTAAATAGACCATCGCGGCCAATTTCACCAATGCCTGAATTTGCTGATGAAAATGACATTGATTCAACGCAGGCGATCGTTGATGCAATTATCGAAGACGAAGAGCTTATAAATGAGCGAAAAGTGTCAGTATGTTTACCAGATCCATCGATTAGAGATAACAGTTTTAATGAATCGAAAGCATCCAGTGATATGAACAGTGATAAACCCCAAGTATTGCCCCGCGATATAAGTGTTGATGCTTTTGCCAATACACTACAAACGCTGACAAATATTGATCCAATTGCATGGAATGCACCCATACCAATTTTCACAAATGGAACCTTGTGTTTGCCATATCTCTCTCTATCATATTTGGACTTGCTGAGCGATCCATCCGTAAATGGATTTATAATCGGAACATCGAATATACTGTTCCGACAAAAGCGTCAACTAATGGATATTTTTATTGATGTTGAACAAATTGCGATCGAAGCATACGATCCAGAGTTACGGCGACAAATATCACTTTCCACCGAAGATTTGCGATTCATTGATTTCATCGTACGAAATGTACAATTTCCAAAAGAAGATGCTGAAGGCAGCGAACAATGGATTCGTAAACAATTCCATGGTTATATGCTGGCAATGTTGCGAACGACCGTTTTAGCACCAGAAGGATCAAAAGATATTGAACACTTTAATGGACATTTTATGAGCACATGGAAACAAACCGACGCGTATAACGCATGGTTAACTAGCCCCAAATCAGTTGAATTCAATTTCAAACAAATTTATAGCGGCCATCCATTCGCTGGAACACTTTCTGTTGGAGATATGAAACTAAAACTTGCTCAGTAAGTAACAATAAAAAGAGACACTTTAGCTAGACTATGTTGATTATTGATTTTTTTCTTTTTTAGAACCATGAACAATAGCGAAAGTGCTCGAAAGCTGAATCAAGCGATGAATAACACGAGCAAGGCTGTTGTAAGCTCAATATCCCAAGCTAAAGAAGCATTTTCAAGTTTTTGGTCAACATTTACAGCACCACATCCGGCCGCACCGACAACAGAGCACGTGAACGAAACACAAATTAAAGTTGATACCACAGACGCAGAGCAGCAAAGTGACGTGACAGAACCAAGAGAAGGAGTTATCAAACAAATTGCAAAGAAATTGCACAACAGCGATCTGAGCTTGAAACAGGACAAAGACACCTCGGCATCGCATCACGAGGGCATTGTCGAGATTGGCCGTGAAGCGAATACGCTTGATGCAAAAATAAAGAACACAATTATTGATATTTGAGATAGCAAATGATAGATTTTCATATTTAAGCATCACTGGATTCTAATCTAATGTTTTGTGTGAATTACTCTAGAAATAACTCTATTTAAAAAGTAAACAAAGACATTTTTAATGCACACCACTTATTATTTATGTGACGAAATGATGTAAACAAAAAACAAAACAAATGGTGTAGCCACTGACACAACATGCTTATTAAGTTAGTTTATAATTAATATATCTAAATGCTTTCTATCTAATTCATTGTAATTTCCGATAATTTTCTTCTGAAGAGAATTCTCGAGAGATGAGAAACTATTCCATTCTAGTTTATTGATGTCAAAAACAATAATATTGTATCACAATTTTTAGTACTCAGATTTTCAGTGAAACGAATGTTTGCTCATTCATTTTGTGTGTATTTATTATTGTACCAATGCTAATTTAATCGAGAGAGAATTTCGGTTTTTTAATCAAATGTATCGAATTCTATTCTGATTTAATGATAGCACTGTTAATAAAAGTATGAAACACCATTGATTGATTTCATTTCATGCGAAATAAAAAGTCAATAATAGTCGCTTTGGAGAATGTGACCTTTGACTGTTACTTGCACACAAATAACAAATTCAAATTTATGTTGAAAAAAAAAAAAGTGAACAATACATCTATTAAATATATCGAGAAGAGTTGTTATTCAGCGCTTATGGCTGAGTAATGTCTGAATAAAAACATACTCTCCTCTCGATATTTTCAATAGATATAATGGTCTTTATTATCCACTTCTGTATTTTTTATTTCGTACTTTTATGACTCCATTTGACATGTTAATTATTCTGTGTTCGCGCTAAAACGTGAACTTGTTCTTCTTCTGTAGTTTAAAAAAGGGCTCTGAAAATTTGCTGTAAAAAATCCCCTTAAATCTGTGTTTTTGTCCTTTTTTCATGTTGGAAAATGCAATTCATTTGAAATCATCGCGCCGATGTCGATAGAAACGAATATAACGTGTTAGCATGTAATATGTGAGCGAAGACATAAACCATCTCTTCGAAATTGTTCGAAACGCAAGTCATCTGTGTCTTTTGCATGCGTGTGCGGTAAGAAAAGGTAAACAACAAAAAAAAAAAATTCACCACAAAAAAAATCAATGAAAAAAATTTCATTAGAAATTAAAAAAAAAAAAAATAAATGAAAAATGTAGTAGGAAAAAATAAATGTGATAATTTTATGAGACCGTAATCGTTAAATTATAAGCTTGATTATATGCGCAATCAATCAGATTAACGTTAGTCAATTGGGGTTTTTATGTACATGTACATACACATATTGTGTCGTAGTAGCGACACCATTAAACTGGTAGGTATCGTTCACCATGTGTTTGATCTTGTCGAATGTTTTGTCGATTGTCGCATGGATGAAACGCCACACGAATATATGTGAATTGTATCCACAAGACGTACCCGAAGTACATAGCGCGCCAGTGTGTATATTTTATGTAGTCTTGATAAAAACCGGCACCGGAACGAGTAAAATATTGCATGAAAACTACCTTCATTTCAGTTTTCTATCGTGTTTTGCTTAGAGATATCGGTGTTACACTTTTGCCAGCAACAGCACGCGGCACGACGACTGAAGAGCGCGTTAAAGTTCAAAGAAACGAACTACAGAAAATCAACACGATATGCCGTGCATATGATTTTGATGTCAAAGCACATATATGGCGTGAAGTCATACACAAGAGAAACGCTCTCTCTCTCTCAAACTCTCTTTCTCTCTGTGGTGTTCTCTTTAATTTGACATAAACATACTTATCACACAAAAAAATTTGCGGTAAAATTTAATGCAAATGCGGTTAATGAGAAGTGTGTGGTTAAATTTAAAGGTAATGCGGTAAAATTTCAGCATTTGTCTGTATTAGAATTCACCGCAATTTACCGCATTCATACAAAAATGACCGCACACGCTTAAGACTGAATGTTTGATTTTGACTCTTATACGTGTGCGGTCATTTTCGTATGAATGCGGTAAATTGCGGCAAATTCTAATACAGAAGTATCCAAATGTCTAAATTTTAACCGCATTTGCATTAAATTTTACCGCAAATTTTTTTGTGTGATACATAGACACTCATGTCGAGTAAATGGACGAGTGAGAGAGAGTGACACTAGAGCACGAGCGCGTTCATATATGGAAACACAAATGCACACACGGCAATTCAGCAACAAATCATACGAAAACAATTTCTGTGTTGTCTTTACTTATTGAATGGATGACTGGTGGCACAGTGCTGCCCGATAAATTATACATCGACAAAATGGTGTAGTATATGTGTGCGTGATTCGCAACGTATGTCAAAAGTCTTTTTCTGTGTCGTTGTTTTTCGTTTTCATTGTTGTTGCTATTTGTGTGTTTTTTTATGTTCGGTCTGATGATAGAGACAGAGAGGCTTTTCGTGTACATGTAAATATATAATTTCTGTTCCTGTCTCACTTCAACTGTCGTTTCTTCATATGTAGTACGACGATTCTCGATTCCGATATTATTATGTGACGACGTTGATGTCGAGAAATTTTTGTATGAGAGTATGCGAGTGGAGAGGTTACGACAGCAAAAAATTGAAAAAGAACACTTTTTGTGTCTGCACTCAGTGAGTATGCGAACCGAGAGAGAATGCAATAAAAAAAATTCGATATAGATTTCTCAATCACATTTTATTCATTCACAAAAGTGGCGAACGAATCGAATCAAGTAACAATTTTCAAGTGAATTTGTAAAAACTGAATTTTTTTGATGGAAAATCATGTTGCAATTATTGTGAGTAGTGCAACTTTCGGTAATTTGTTAATTATTATTATGGTGAACGAAAGAAAAAAAATTACGATAATAAATAGAATTGAAACTAGAAAAGTGTTTAATGTGCTCGTGTAAATGATAGAGAAAAAAGATATTTTTTTTTTCGCGTAAACGTGCCACGAGTAATCTAGTGGAAAAGAACCATATACAAAATCAAAGTCATTGATTTATTTATATTACGACAAAAGTGTACAAATTTACGACCATTTTTTGGGCAAAACATTTCCGATTCATATCGAAAAACGAACTAAGCATTTTCCCCGCAAGTTCATAGTGAGAACAAATAAACAAGCTGATAATTGGATTAAAAAAGATTTTCATGGTAAATAAATTTCTCAATATTTATATTGATTGTTATCAATTATTATTTTTTGAGTTGATTTATCGTCGATGTTGACATTAAAGATTTGATGCAGATATATTTTACAGCCATAATACGATTGTAATACATAGTAAATAAAGGAGAAAAAAACTCAGTCCCATTAAACATATTCACGTAAAAACATTTACAAAGAAAATTTGAGAATAATTTTTTTTTTATAGAAATTGGAAAAATACCAAACAATCGCCGTAAAAAAGGAACAAAAGATATTGTGAATTTTATAGCAAGAGCAAAAGGCTTCAAAAATAAAAACAGAAGAGAAGAAACCGAAAAAGAAGAAGAAGATCAAGAAATAGTGGCCGCAGAAGGAACAAAAAGGAATGTAGTTTTATTTTACACCCGATTTATATTCGAGCTATTGTTGTGATGTTCTTGGTTGTCGTTTTTGTTTTTCTTGCTGCTGCTATTTCTCGTATATGATGTGTGTACTGCCAACCTATTACATGAACGGATAAAACATACTAAATATACACATTCCGGGTGTGTTAAAAAGATACTCGACAGTTTATAAATGCTGTTTTTTTGTTCATTCTCATTTCGTTTGTTTTTCATGGCGGCCATATTTTAAAAGTGATTGTGTGGTGTGTCTTTGCTCAAAACAAAAATGCTCTCTCGGCCCCGAACAACACCATTAACAGCGGTGTTGATATCGAATACACATAATATTTATAAGTATTTTGAATCTCTTTCTTCGCATTCAATTATAACTACATCGTCTCGCTCCTCTCTTTCTCTATCTGCGTTTCAAATAACAGCACCAGTTGAAGAATGAATCGATTTTGTTTAGTGCAAACTTGTTGTTCAAATTAATAGCGTATTCGTTTGGGACATTTTCTCCATTATAGATCATATCGTACGACTTAATTGATTAACTTGGCAGTCATTTGTGTTTTTTTTTCAAATCCTCGTTGATTTACCGACATTTAAATGTGCGTTTAAATTGGAAGAAAAGAGATACCAAGAAAAACGAGAGCAACTAATGCGTACACAAAGTAATGAGAGATAATTATTTGATTCAATTAAAAGATTTCGATTGGACGAAAAATTTACATCAAAGAGTTGAACATAGCGTGAATTGATTACGATGTGATTCAAATAAATTCAGTGCTGGTAATTAAACCATTTCAAACATTTGCAAGCAATGATTTACATTTTTAAACCGATTTTTCCGCATGAATTTTAAATCGTTTATAAATGCAAAGAGTGAAAAACACAAACAAACAAAACGGAAAACAAGTTCAAACCGCAGAAAGAGAGATATTGTGTATTATGATGACTTGTGAGATCTAATCAAAACGAAACCGAATCAATACATTGAAAGAGAGTAAGCAAAAAAACCTGCTTCAATACAAAAGCATCAAAAATACAATTACAGTCATTGATAACAAAAAAAATCGATCGAGCATTGCATGAATTACAAACGTTTTAATCAGCAGTATGTAGACGTGACAATGAACATTTATTGACGAATCGTCTTCGATAAAATATATTTATTGTATCAACCGAAAATATGTTATTCTTTTCATTTCAAATACAATTGTGTGTAAGTTGAGTTACAACTGAATCCGCTACTGTCAGCGCAAATTGATTGTATGATTAAATGCAAATAATAATACGACTTGAGTAGTGTGCATATACGAATTCTTCTTTAAACCGATTTTAAAATGAAATGTTTATATACAATGAGACCATAGATTCTGGACTTGACAATTTAAGGGGGGGTAATTTGGGAAAATCTGAAGGGGGGTATTTTGAAAGTCCATTCTATCCAGTGTAAATTTGCTTTTAAATCTTTTCATGTTGTCATTCCTGGGGGGGGGGGGTTATCTCAGTGAATCTGGCTCGAAAATCCCTAGCAAATCGAAAGATTTTCCTCTCGTTGCCCAAAACCCTAGCAAATTA